ATTGGTAGTAAACAAAAACATAGCCAAACTAAAGGTAGGCATGTAAACAGCTAGTATAAACAACTGTTATATAGAATTGGTAGTAAACAAAAACATAGCCAAACTAAAGGTAGGCACGTAAACAGCTAGTATAAACAACTGTTATATAGAATTGGTAGTAAACAAAAACATAGCCAAACTAAAGGTAGGCACGTAAACAGCTAGTATAAACAACTGTTATATAGAATTGGTAGTAAACAAAAACATAGCCAAACTAAAGGTAGGCATGTAAACAGCTAGTATAAACAACTGTTATATAGAATTGGTTGTAAACTTACTCAGTTTTGATTTCCTTTGCCAAGATAGTTTTCATGTCAACAAAAAATCTCAAGATATTTAAAGTTTTCCATGAAAAAATGTATTAAATGTATAGTGTTACAGTAAATTTAATTATTGATGTTATTGATACAAGTCAAAAATCAGTTAAATAGTTATTGGATCTGTTGGTAATGTAAGTCATAATTTAACAGCAGACAAGATAACTTAAAAACCTGCCTTTGTAAACTTGGTATTTACCAATATGCACGTGTTAATATAAGTCTATTAAAGTATTAATTTATTATTGTCAGCAAGGAAGGTCAATTTAAACATCTGTCATCCAAATCACAAAACAGAATGGGCAACATATGTACCAGCTGTCAGTAAACTATATCAGGATACAGTACACACAATTTAAAATTTGCACTGATAAAGAAGGTCAGTTTGAACTTTTCTTGTCCAAATGACAAATGTATTCATCATTTGTAAATTATAAATCAGTTAGATATTGGTTAAATGTACAGTACAATAAGTTGTTTTTAATATATATTTTAAAATATACATTAACAATAAACAATAAAATAAACAATAATGTTTTACATTATACATTCTTTTTTATCACAAACTTATTTCCAGTATTACTTTGTGTACATTATAGAACTACATGAAGTCTCCTGTACTGAGAAACAAAACTTTAGACAAGGGTTCAGTAAAACACATCGGTAAGTGATACAGTTAAGTATTTATTAGACATTCTAACACATCTGTAAGTGATATAGTTAACTGTGTATTAGACATTCTAAGACATCGGTAAGTGATATAGTTAAGTATTTATTAGACATTCTAAGACATCTGTAAGTGATATAGTTAAGTATTTATTAGACATTCTAAGACATCTGTAAGTGATATAGTGAACTGTATATTAGACATTCTAACACATCTGTAAGTGATATAGTTAACTGTATATTATACATTCTAAGACATCTGTAAGTGATATAGTTAAGTATTTATTAGACATTCTAAGACATCTGTAAGTGATATAGTTAACTGTATATTAGACATTCTAACACATCTGTAAGTGATATAGTTAACTGTATATTAGACATTCTAACACATCTGTAAGTGATATAGTTAACTGTATATTAGACATTCTAAGACATCTGTAAGTGATACAGTGAACTGTATATTAGACATTCTAACACATGTAAGTGATATAGTTAACTGTATATTATACATTCTAAGACATCTGTAAGTGATATAGTTAAGTATTTATTAGACATTCTAAGACATCGGTAAGTGATATAGTTAAGTATTTATTAGACATTCTAAGACATCGGTAAGTGATATAGTTAACTGTATATTAGACATTCTAATACATCTGTAAGTGATATAGTTAAGTATTTATTAGACATTCTAAGACATCTGTAAGTGATATAGTTAAGTATTTATTAGACATTATAAGACATCTGTAAGTGATATAGTTAACTGTATATTAGACATTCTAACACATGTAAGTGATATAGTTAAGTATTTATTAGACATTCTAAGACATCTATAAGTGATGTAGTTAACTGTATATTAGACATTCTAAGACATCGGTACGTGATATAGTTAACTGTATATTAGACATTCTAAGACATCAGTAAGTGATATAGTTAACTGTATATTAGACATTCTAAGACATCAGTAAGTGATATAGTTAACTGTATATTAGACATTCTAAGACATCTGTAAGTGATATAGTTAACTGTGTATTAGACATTCTAAGACATCTGTAAGTGATATAGTTAACTGTATATTAGACATTCTAACACATATGTAAGTGATATAGTTAACTGTATATTAGACATTCTAACACATATGTAAGTGATATAGTTAAGTATTTATTAGACATTCTAACATATGTAAGTGATATAGTTAAGTATTTATTAGACATTCTAATACATCTGTAAGTGATAGTTAAGTATTTATTAGACATTCTAACACATCTGTAAGTGATATAGTTAAGTATTTATTAGACATTCTAATACATCTGTAAGTGATAGTTAAGTATTTATTAGACATTCTAAGACATCTGTAAGTGATATAGTTAAGTGTATATTAGACATTCTAATACACCTGTAAGTGATATAGTTAACTGTGTATTAGACATTCTAAGACATCTGTAAGTGATACAGTTAAGTATTTATTAGACATTCTAACACATCGGTACGTGATGTAGTTAAGTATTTATTAGACATTTAACACATCGGTATGTGATATAGTTAACTGTATATTAGACATTCTAAGACATCTGTAAGTGATATAGTTAAGTATTTATTAGACATTCTAACACATCTGTAAGTGATATAGTTAAGTGTATATTAGACATTCTAACACATCTGTAAGTGATATAGTTAACTGTATATTAGACATTCTAAGACATCTGTAAGTGATATAGTTAACTGTATATTAGACATTGTAACACATCGGTAAGTGATGTAGTTAAGTATTTATTAGACATTTAACACATCGGTATGTGATATAGTTAACTGTGTATTAGACATTCTAACACATCTGTAAGTGATACAGTTAAGTATTTATTAGACATTCTAAGACATCTGTAAGTGATATAGTTAAGTATTTATTAGACATTCTAACACATCTGTAAGTGATATAGTTAAGTATTTATTAGACATTAATACATCTGTAAGTGATACAGTTAAGCATTTATTAGACATTCTAAGACATCGGTACGTGATATAGTTAACTGTATATTAGACATTCTAACACATATGTAAGTGATATAGTTAAGTATTTATTAGACATTCTAAGACATTAGTAAGTGATATAGTTAACTGTATATTAGACATTCTAAGACATCGGTACGTGATATAGTTAACTGTATATTAGACATTCTAAGTTGTAATTGTTACAGGTAGTCATTGTTGTGTTAAAGGTAACCATTGTTATACTTGTTACAGGTAGTCATTGTTGTGTTAAAGGTAACCATTGTTATACTTGTTAGGGGTAGTCATTGTTGTACTCATAACAGATAATCATTGTTGTGTTAATTAAAGGTAACCATAGTTGTACTTGTTACAGGTACTCATTGTTGTGTTAAAGGTGACCATTGTTATACTTGTTACAGGTAGTCATTGTTGTGTTAAAGGTAACCATTGTTATACTTGTTACAGGTAGTCATTGTTGTACTCATAACAGATAATCATTGTTGTGTTAATTAAAGGTAACCGTTGTTGTACTTGTTACAGGTAGTCATTGTTGTACTCATAACAGATAATCATTGTTGTGTTAATTAAAGGTAACCATTGTTATACTTGTTACAGGTAACAAGGAAGATATTTTGAGATGCTACATGTCTCACAATGTGTCTAATCATGCTGCAGCTGATTCTGTGGCTCTCAAGTCACCTCAGTTATTACAAGATCATCAACCCATTAAAAATAATACTTTTCCAGTAGAGCTGCTGTGGAAAAGTTTGCATGAACAAGCTCAGGTATTAATTTGTATGTCATTTTACATGTAAAAACAGAAAGCTGTAATCTGTACTTAAAGTAAATGAATACTATACCATTATCATCAACACTTGTGAATGTTTCAAACTTTTCAGGTATTATATTGTATATTTTTTACATCATACATTCATAAAAAAATATTTCTGGGATATATAAAATTTAGGAAAAAATTGGAGTATTCTTTTATAGCTTTTGATTATTCGAGTGTCTCAAACATTAACATAATTTTGTTGTTAGTAATGTAAAGGATTTAAAAAAAAGAAATACATATACTAAACATATTGTAATGTTGTACTGCAACTGTACCCAATCACATTAATAGAACCCCCCCCCCCCTGACTTCTTTGTTAGGTGTGTGTTTCAGGAAATATCTCCATCTGTTACCTGTGTGTGTGTGTGAGGCACTCTCCTCTCCATGTTACCAGACTAGTGTGTCAGTGAGATAATACCCCTCCACATGTTGACAGATCAGTGTGTGTGCCATTCACCTGTTATCGGATCAGCGTGTGTCTGGGGTAATCAGTCCCCTTTGCCTATTATTATATCAATATGTTATCTGGTGCTGTCCTTTCTCTCTGTCATCAGATAAGTATATATCTAAAACAGTCCTCTACACCTGTTATCAGATCAGTGTGTATCTAAAACAGTCCTCTACATTTACTCTCAGATCAGTGTGTATCTAAAACAGTCCTCTACACTTGCTATTAGATCAGTGTGTTTTTAAGATAGTCCTCTACACCTGTTATCAGATCAGTGTGTATCTAAAACAGTCCTCTGCACTTGCTATCAGATCAGTGTGTTTTTAAGATAGTCCTCTACACCTGTTATCAGATCAGTGTGTATCTAAAACAGTCCTCTACACCTGTTATCAGATCAGTGTGTTGTCTTATTCATCAACTAACAAAGATGTCTGGTATGATTTTTTCCTAATCTCTTTACAACCAAAGAAACAGTATTTGTTATTGAGGCATTGCTAGTAAACATCCAACACCTGAAACAGCTGTTAGTTTTATTTCAGATAATTCCTACCTCATTACATATGACACAATCTCTTTGGCCAGATTATCACTTATCTCTGATTTTATTTATTTTTGAATCTGCTAGATGATATCAAACTTACAAAAGTCAGTCCGAGAACTTCTAGAGGCAAGGAACAACAGAAAAGTTCACATCGAGATACCAAAAAGTAGAGTCACTTTTTACATCTGTCCTTTGTGTTTTTTGTCATATTGTTTATAAATAATCAAATGGCAGTTACTGCATATCAATTTGTTGATCTAATGCAGTAAACTAAGGATTGTATTATATATTATTATACTTGTAGCATCATATTTTAAAAGTTCTTGATATAAATTAAATATTTAAGCCAAAATGTCCATGACTTATTATAAGTCACCACCAGTGTTTCAACACGTTTTAAGTTATGTTTTTGTTTTCATAGGGAAGAACATGTTAGATCAGTTTGAGGAAAATATCAGGTTGAAGCCGGAAGTTCCGTGTCCAGACTATTTAGGATCTAGACGAGCTACACAGTTCCAAGAATATGTAGGAACTATGAGCAGTGACTGTCAGACCACACAATTGTGAGTTGGTCTAACAAGCTTAACATTGCATCATTGTTGTCATTTTGCACAAATAAAAGCTGAAAAATATTCTGAAACAATTAAGAGACTTCAACTCAAAAACTACACATAGTACAGCAACATCTAAGTAAAAAACAAATCATTGTTCCAAGATATGTAACAGATATTCACTATGACATTTAGAACCATTTGATTATTATAGATAATAGCATTAAGAAACAGAAGTGTTTAAATGAATTGAAGTTAATCCCATAATCTATTTATGTATTCAGGATAATTATAAATAATAGCATTAAGAAACAGAAGTGTTTACATAAATTGAAGTTAACCTCATAATCTGTTTATGTTTTCAGGATAATTATAAATAATAGCATTAAGAAACATGAGTGTTTACATGGATTAAAGTTAACCTCATAATCTGTTTATGTTTTTAGGATAATTATAAATAATAGCATTAAGAAACAGGAGTGTTTACATAAATTCAAGTTAACCTCATAATCTGTTTATGTTTTCAGGATAATTATAAATAATAGCATTAAGAAACAGAAGTGTTTACATAAATTAAGTTAACCTCATAATCTGTTTATGTTTTCAGGATAATTATAAATAATAGCATTAAGAAACAGGAGTGTTTACATAAATTCAAGTTAACCTCATAATCTGTTTATGTTTTCAGGATAATTATAAATAATAGCATTAAGAAACAGGAGTGTTTACATAAATTAAAGTTAACCTAAAGTTGTTACTATGTTTAGGATTTAATGTTAAAAAATACAGAATTTGCTGAAAAATTTTAAATTCTAACAGAACATGAAATGTAAATTTCAAAATAAATTCTTCAGAAATTTTCCAAAATAATTTTATTTTTCCATTAGAGTATGACATTCCAGTGCATCCTGTTAAAATAACATTGTTTTGTTATCAAGTATTCAGATTAGTGATAACTTTTAAATGATACAGCACGTTATGATCTACTAGTATTGCTCAATAAGCAAGAATTTCTATGTGACAAATCACAAAGCATTGTTAAATGATTATGTGGCAACTCACAAAAGCATTGTTAAATGATTGTGACAAGTCACAAAAGCATTGTTAAATGATTATGTGACAAGTCACAAAAGCATTGTTAAATTATTCTATGTGACAAGTCACAAAAGCATTGTTAAATGATTCTATGTGAAAAATCACAAAAGCATTGTTAAATGATTCTATGTGACAACTCACAAAAGCATTGTTAAATAAAACTATAAATGTTTGGCAGTACTGTAAAAAAAACAACTTAATGAAGCATGTATGAGACAACTTGTGAAATAAACACGGTAGTGAGTATAAGAAGAACTGGGGATGAATATGATGTCAATAATTTTTTCTTTTATTCCTGTTTTATTAGATCTACTGTAACAATTAGAAATTATTCTCTTCCAGTTATATTCAGTGTTTTTGATTACTAATACTTATGTCTGAAAGTTTCTATTGTTCTTATTTATCTGTGTTTGTTCACCATTTACTGACACTTAATGCTAAAAATTCCAGTTTTCATACAGTCTGGTAACGTAATTAACTTTGGTGGTCTATGATACAACTGTTTCTTTCTGGTTTCTTAGAGCCTCACTCTTTTCTTCAGAATGCCTTACCCTGAGAAGTGAGATGGACACACTGAGAACAAAGATGTGTAAGTTGTCGTGATGAAACTTGTGATAATCAATGTGTATGTTCCCACGATGAAACTTGTGGTAATCAATGTGTATGTTCCCACAATGAAACTTGTGGTAATCCATGTGTAAGTTGTCAAGATAAAATTTGTGGTAATCCATGTGTAAGTTGTCACGATGAAACTTGTGGTAATCCATGTGTAAGTTGTCACGATGAAACTTGTGGTAATCCATGTGTAAATTGTCACGATAAAACTTGTGGCAATCCATGTGTAAGTTGTCGCGATGAAACTTGTGGTAATCCATGTGTAAGTTGTCACGATGAAACTTGTGGTAATCCATGTGTAAGTTGTCACGAATGAAACTTGTGATAATCCATGTGTAAGTTGTCACGATGAAACTTGTGGTAATCCATGTGTAAGTTGTCACGATGAAACCTGTGGTAATCCATATGTAAGTTGTCATGATTAAACTTTGGTAATCCATGTGTAAGTTGTCACAATGAAACTTGTGATAATCCATGTGTAAGTTGTCACAATTAAACTTTGGTAATCCATGTGTAAGTTGTCACGATGAAACTTGTGGTAATCCATGTGTAAGTTGTCACAATGAAACTTGTGGTAATCCATGTGTAAGTTGTCACGATGAAACTTGTGGTAATCCATGTGTAAGTTGTCACGATGAAACGTGTAGTAATCCATGTGTAAGTTGTCACAATGAAACTTGTGGTAATCCATGTGTAACATGTCACGATGAAACTTGTGGTAATCCATGTGTAAGTTGTCACGATGAAACTTGTGGTAATCCATGTGTAAGTTGTCACAATGAAACTTGTGGTAATCCATGTGTAAGTTGTCACAATGAAACTTGTGATAATCCATGTGTAAGTTGTCACGATGAAACTTGTGGTAATCCATGTGTAAGTTGTCATGATGAAACTTGTAGTAATCTCTAGTTTAGCCTCTTCTCTAATTTATTGAAACTGTGCTAATCCAGTCGATAAACTCAGGGCCTGATTTCATTAACATGTGTGTATTTATGTGTATATGCATGTGTTAGTGTGTATATTTGAGCAATGTTTATGATATTACTTTTATATGAACAGTTGGTTAGTATGAAGTCAAGATGTGTCTAGTATATGAACAGTATTAAAGTTTATATATAACAGTTCTGTCATATATAGAAACAATGTAATACACTAACAGAAACATCCTTGTGTAACAAAATATATCCTAGGAGTAATGAGTGTATCTATAATTTACTGTGTTGTTGAGGGATGATACTGTAGTTTACTACCAGTTAGATATTTCCATA